CAACCAGGTCGAGTCATGAAAGCAAAGTGGGTTGGGAAATAAGATGGAAGGGGTCTGGGCCCCTAACACTTTGGAGCACCATGCTGGCTCTGCACTGACTAGCTATAAACTCTTTGCCTATGAAAGAGAAATAAACTATTTTGTGTAAGCCACCGTTAGTTCAGATTTTTCTGTTACTCACAGCTTAACCCACACAGTCTTCACCGTCAAGGTCTTCCTTGATTTGCAGCACATACTCGGCTGTCCTGCTGCCACAGGGTGGGATAGTGCCCTTCCTTTGCTCCCACAGCCCTCTGTAAGCCCTTACCATCACAACAACTCACCACCGTCTTCTACTATTCATGTATGTTCCTCATTTTATTCATGGTATGTGTACTGTGTGTTCACTGATCACTTGTGGAAAATTGTCCACTGTTTATTCAGTGCTAACGTTGCTCCTTCTAAATTCTTCTTTGTGACCAAGAACCCCCTTACACAAATCATCCTGGATTAAATATGTCCCAATAAGAGGCACTCATATAAGATTCAGAAGGATGCCAAGGCAGAGAAACCGTTTCTTAACATGGCAGCATTTGAGAACAGGCAGCTACAGCTGTCAGTGGACCCACTGATGGTTCAGGCTACTGTGTCCTCCAGGATTTTCTCAAGCAGCCTCGTGACTGTTGTTCCCTAGACCTGCAAAGAGCTGTGTAAGACTTTAGTTCCTTGAACTAAATTGGTCTAGACTGCAAATGTTGAGAGTTGCTATAATTTTCCTGACTAAACCCTAATTGATAGATCACCTATATCATGCCATAACTCAAAAGTAGCTAGAACAGTAATGGACATGAAGACAGTCCCTCACTTCATCCAATATTCCATCTTGTCTGTGCGCTTCCTGACACTGTTTCTTGCTTATCTTTGCCCAGCCCCACACACAGTGCCTGACATGTTTTAGGTCCTTAATAAATGTCCTTTGAATGAAATTACTTAGATCTCATCTTTGCCTCCCCATCCAGACGCCTAGAGAGGCTCTGAGAAGCGTCATTTCTACCTCTGTGTAATATGAATGGAGAACAGAGAAGGCAGCTCATCGGTCCTCTGACTAGTCATCTGTAGTGGTTGAGAGCACCAACTCTGGAGCAAAAGCTTTGATTCAGATACTGGCTCTGCCACTTACCAGTTTTGTGACAATTATCAGTGTTCTCATCTGCACAACAGGCATGACAGTGTCCACTTCCTTGGATTGAGGATCAAATAATATAATATAGAACACTGGCATGTGGGAAGACTAATATGTTTTCTACACTATAGAAACATTGGCATGTAGACAGACTATATAAATATTTGCTGTCTTATAATATTTTTATTTTTTTACTAAGCATTGTCTGTAACATGAAAAACATGTCCTTCCCTTTCCAAAGCAGCAATGAATGCAGCACATTTTTCAAGGAAAATTATCGTTTAAAATAGCCAAGGTATTTTCTTATAATTTAGAAATTACTCCATTGGAGCCTTTGGCTAAGCATTGTCTTTTAAAAAATGAATTCATAGAGAGCTATATGGCAGAGTCACTCAGGTATTTTCCAGTTTTTGAGAATAATTGCTACAAAAGTGAATAGGGGAAAATTGAAATAACTGATTATTTTGAAAGAAGCCACTGTATGGATTTTCTCAGCTGGAAAATCTGTCTATACTACTATAACATAGTTTTTTAAGATTCCTCTCAACAGTGTGCTTCGTTCCAGGAAACAAATGTAAATTATTCAATAGATATTTGTTAAATGTGCAAAAATCATGGGGCTCTCCCATTGATTTCCCGTGAATTGAAATATACTCAAAAGCAAGGATATGTGTATTTATGTACTCTCTGACTCAAAATATTATGCTCAAATATAAAATTACTTTTTAAAGAAAACTGCTTTATGAGGAAGTTTCTTGAATTTCTAATCCCACCCATTTCTCCCCTTACCTTCCACCTCCCTTCCCACCCTGTATATCCAGTACTCCTTGAGAAAGGCTTTTGAGACAACAGAAAGATGAGGTTTACTTTTAACTTGCTTTCTCTGACACACCAACACACTGACCATCCTTTTCAGAGATGCCTGGAGTTCTTCTGGATGTCAGTCTTGGGAAGATTATGGATATAAACCAGCTCTGCATTGCAGGGACCCCCTGCAAAACCATTCCCTCCCCCCACTGACTAATTGCAAGGGGGAAGGGGCATCCATGTGTGAAGTTGTCGAAAGAAGCCTTAACAGGTGTGATTTAAATTTTAATGCAATGAGCAATTATTGTTTATTGTCAGTAAAGAAAAACATTCTTACAGCTGATTGCATGCAGGAAAATCTTTATTAAGTTAACAGCGGTTACACTTTTTAAAACAATGTGGAATACCGAAACATTTCATAATGACTTAGGAACAGCTACCACATGTTTGTGAGCAAGTTCCACTTTCATAATTGTCTCCGCTTCCAATCCCAATGATCAATCTATAGGGGATTTATTTTTCTTAAGTTTTGTTTAGTACATCTATCTCATAGCAATATTTGAAAGCTGCTGTGAAACACATTTTTTAACAATAAATACACAGTGGAAGGATATGAAAACACATTTACAAAAATTGACATGTTTATAAATAATACACAATACAAGGGTTACAAAAGGGCTGTGGTATCTTTCAAAACATTTTTGTATTTTATTCTTTCTAAAACGTTTCTCTTTCTAAATTTATGTACAAAGTCTTACTTTAAATGCATCGTGCTCCTTTTCTCCTCTTTTCCACGAATGCTAATGCTTTAACCATCTGAATTGTCCTGCCTGAGAGAAATAAAAGTTATCAACATACAAGGCACATGTATGGACATCTGGATGTTATAGCCCAATTCACAGCACAATTATCAGTCAGTATAGGTGACGGAAGGACGGGATTACTCTGTGTTTTCTGCACACTACAGGATACCGTCGGCTTTTACCACTCTGGGCTTACATGATGATGCACTTGCCAAGCCGCTTCTCGGTGGTCTTGGGCTTCTGGGATTTCTTCTCAGGACTCTCGGGGCAGGCGTCAGGGTTCTCGTGGTTCAGCAGCATGTAGAACAGCTCTTGCACGTTGACATCCAACTTGGCCGACGTCTCCAGGAAAGCGCAATTCCACTCGAGCGCACGGGCAGCACCATCTTTGAGGGTCAGCTCCCTGTGGTACCTGTCATCTCTCTTGTTGCCCACCAGCACGATAGGACACTTATGCAGATCGCTGCCTTTGATCTTGCGGATCAGCTCATAGAAGGGCTTCAGTTGCTCCAGGGTTTCCTTCTTGGTGACTGAGTAGACCAGGACGAAGGCATGGCCCCTGGAAATGGCAAGGCGCTGCAGATCTGGGTAGCGGTGGCCGCCAGTGGTGTCGGTGATGTGCAGGGCACCCATGGCGTGGTTGCAGCCCTGCACCTGGCGGTAGGTATCTTCAATGGTGGGCAGGTNCTTGGATTGTTTGATTAAATGACATAGAACATGGAAGACTCATATGTTTTCTATAATATAGAAACACTGGCATGTAGACAGACTATATAAATATTTGCTGTCTTAAAATATTTTTACTTTTTTACTAAGCATTGTCTGTAACATGAAAAACATGTCCTTCCCTTTGTAAAGGTTAGTATTTGCCACTCAAATCCTTAATAATCACTTTGCTCATCTACATGAGCAGCAATGAATGCAGCACATTTTTCTAGGAGAATTATCATTTAAAATAGCCAAGGTATTTTCTTATAATATCGAAATTACTCCATTGGAGTCTTTGGCGAAGCATTGTCTTTTAAAAAATAAATTCATAAAATGGTATATGGCAGAGTCACTCAGGTATTTTCCAGTTTCTGAGAATAACTGCTACAAAAGGAAATAGGGGAAAATTGAAATAACTGATTATTTTAAAAGGAGCCACTGAATGGATTTTCTCAGCTGGAAAATCTGTCTATACTATAACATAGTTTTTTAAGATTCCTCTCCACAGTGTGCTTCGTTCCAGGAAACACATGTAAATTATTCAATAGATATTTGTTCAATGAGCAAAAATCACAGGCCTCTTCCCTTGACTTACCCCAAATTAAAAAATCTGAAAAGCTAGGATATGTGTATTTTTGTACTCTCTCACTCTAAAAATGATTCTCAAAAATAAATTTTTTTAAGGAAAACTGCTTTATGAGGAAGTTTCTTGAATTTCTAATCCCACCCATTTCTCCCCTTACCTTCCACCTCCCTTCCCACCCTGTATATCCAGTACTCCTTGAGAAAGGCTTTTGAGACAACAGAAAGATGGGGTTTACTTTTAACTTGCATTCTCTGACAAACCAACACACTGGGGTTTACTTTTAACTTGCATTCTCTGACAAACCAACACACTGACCATCCTCTTCAGAGATGCCTGGAGTTCTTCTGGATGTCAGTCTCAGGAAGGTTATGGATATAAACCAGCTCTGCATTGCAGGGACCCCCTTCAACACCATTCCCTCCCCCCACTGATTAATTGCAAGAGGGAAGAGGCATCCATGTGTGAAGTTGTCGAAAGAAACCTTAACAGATGTGGTTTAAATTTTAATTCAATGAGCAAATTCTTTTTATTGTCAGGAAAGAAAAACATTCTTACAGCTGATTGCATGTAGGAAAAGCTTTATTAATTCAAGAACCGGTTACACTTTTTAAAACTATGTGGAATACCCGAACATTTTTGTTGACTTAGGAACAGTTACCACATCTTCCTGAGCAAGTTCCACTTTCATAATTGTCTCTGCTTCTAATCCCAATGATCAATCTATATGACATTTATTTTTTAAGTTTTGTTTAGCACATCTATCTCATAGCAATATTTGAAAGCTGTTGTGAAACAAATTTTTTAACAATAAATACACAGTGGAAAGGTATGACAACACATTTACAAAAATTGACATGTTTACAAATAATACACAAAACAAGGGTTACAAAAGGGCTGTGGCATCTTTCAAAATATTTTTGTATTTTATTCTTTCTAAAACGTTTCTCTTTCTAAATTTATGTTAAAGGTCTTATTTTAAATGCATCATGCTCCTTTTCTCCTCTTTTCCACAAATGCTAATGTTTTAACCATCTGAGTTGTCTTGCCTGAGAGAACTAAAAGTTATCAACATACAAGGCACATGTATGGACATCTAGATGTTATACCCCAATTCACATCACAATTATCAGTCAGTACAGGTGACAGAAGGACGGGATTGCTCTCTGTTTTCTGCACACTACAGGATACCGTCGGCTTTTACCACCCTGGGCTTACATGATGATGCACTTGCCAAGCAGCTTCTCGGTGGCCTTGGGCTTCTGGGATTTCTTCTCAGGACTCTCGGGGCAGGCATCAGGGTTCTCGTGGTTCAGCAGCATGTAGAACAGCTCTTGCACGTTGACATCCAACTTGGCCGACGTCTCCAGGAAAGCGCAATTCCACTCCCGCGCACGAGCAGCACCATCTTTGAGGGTCAGCTCCCTGTGGTACCTGTCATCTCTCTTGTTGCCCACCAGCACAATAGGACACTTATGCAGATCGCTGCCTTTGATCGCGCGGATCAGCTCATAGAAGGGCTTCAGCTGCTCCAGGGTTTCCTTCTTGGTGACTGAGTAGACCAGGACGAAGGCATGGCCCTTGGAAATGGCAAGGCGCAGCAGATCTGGGTAGCGGTGGCCGCCAGTGGTGTCGGTGATGTGCAGGGCACCCATGGCGTGGTTGCAGCCCTGCACCTGGCGGTAGGTATCTTCAATGGTGGGCAGGTAGGTGTCTCGGAAAGTGCCGCGCACCCGCCTCTGCACCAGCGCACTCTTGCCCACGCCGGCGGGGCCGAGCAGCACCACGCGAAAATCTTTGCTCCTCGTGTGGGACATGAAGTTACGGAAAACAAGCAGGGGGGGCTGGGGTCGCAGCCGCTGCATCAGCCTTTCCTTGAAGCGAAGGCAAGCGTTGCCCATTTTGGGGAATCGGCGGGGAGACTCCTGCCCAACTTCTCCCGGACTCAGGCGGCAGTAGGAGATGCCTAGGAAGGAAGAGACAGGAGAGATGAGAGTTGTAACCTGCAACGTTGTCAGAGTGTCTGCCTGGCAGCTGGTCCCCTGTGATGCTAAGGGGCGTCCACACACCAGGAAGGACATTTCCAGGCAAGTGGAGCAGCCTGTTAGGGAGGACACACGCTTTTTCAGGATGGGGTCCCCAGGTGGACTAGGTGCAGGCACCGGCAGGGGCTACAGAGCAGACCCGAAGGTTGGCTTTGTGCGGTAGAGATTGCACGGGTCGAGCCTCTTTTTCTCTCTCTTTAAATCATTTAACCCTCATCTTTCAAGAAACACCTGAAGCTTCTTTCCTTATCTGTAAAGTGAAGATTTTAAATGGAGAAGCAGAACAGCGGAGGAGAAATAGGTGGGGAGCACTCACCAGAGTCGGGGACTGAATGCCAGGTAGGCATTGGAGCGCGCTGCCGCCTGGCTGGTTCAAGCTGTAAGGTCAGGAATGCAGGAGAGCAGGAGGCTGTCTCTGGTAGTGGTGGTGGCAAGGTCTGCAGGCGAGATGCCCAGCACAGTGGAAGGCAGCCCCTGGAGAGGCGGGGCGGCGCCAGCCCTCAGTGCTCGTCACTGCGCAGGTCACCTAGGGCCTGAGGGAGTGGTCTCAGACAGGTCCCCCGCCCCCCGCTCAGCGAGCCCGGCGGACTGCACGGAAAGTGTCGGACGGGAAGCTTTTGGGCGTCTTACCTCTGTGTCCCCATGGCCACCCGCTGTCTCCAACACACCACTTTAATTTTCTCTGCCACCGCATTGTTCTACTGTCATTGCCCGAGCACTGTCTTACAGAACAAGGAGATGGAATAGGGACAGTGTATTGAATTGTAAGTGCGTGCGCGGCAACGCGCGGCAACGCACCACATTTACCAAACCTTTCTCTTTCTTACGTATTAAAAATCCTTAGCTTCCCACTGCCACGTGAGCTTTCCAGCACTCACTGCGGGCAAGGGTTGGACTCTGGCGTGTGGCAGTTCGGGGCTAACGATCTCGATTTGCCACCAGCACGACAGGGCACACACGCAGATTGCTGCCTTTGATCTCGCGGACCAGCTCTTAGAAGGGCTTCAGGTCCTCCAGGGTTTCCTTCTTGGTGGCTGAGTCGCCCACGATGAAGGGCCCTCCTGGGACCCCCAGAGAGCAGGGTGCAGAGGTGCTGGTGCTTGCACGACCACGCCGAGAGTGCTCTGTTCACTGCAGTGAGTGCCAAGGGGACCCCCCATAACACAGGGCTATGGCTTCCCACTCCGCAACACTTCCCACTCTGCAACAGCCCCTAATGGTATATGGAGGTATGAGATACACACACACACACACACACACACACACACACACGTATATGTATATATATACATATATATACGTATATTTTTATATACGTATATATGTATACACGTATATATGTGTACACGTGTACTTATATGTGTGTGTATGTGTGTCTGTTTGTGATGTCCAAAATCAGCTGTGAAATAACTTATTTCAGAAATCCTTTCTCCCCAAGACTCTCATATTTTCCTGTGAAAGTTTTAAATACTTGAACTTCTCATTGTGATTTAAAACTTGGGTATGGTATGAAATAGAAATTAATTTTTTTTCATATGAGCTACTTCTTTCAGATTTGTTAAACTACTTCTGTGCTATATGTCCATAAGTCTGTTCCTGGATTAATGATTCTGTTCTTTCCCATTAGGCTTAATAAGTATGTTGCTCAACTGAAACATACTGGTACAAAAAATAATAGAAAATTTTAGTAAAGAAATAAAATATATTAAAAAATCCAAGTGGAAATTATAGGCCTGAAAAATGCAATAATAGACATTTTAAATACTTCCTGAATGGGCTCGATGTTAGAGTTGAGAGGACAGAGNTTGGACTCTGGCGTGTGGCAGTTCGGGGCTAACGATCTCGATTTGCCACCAGCACGACAGGACACACACGCAGATTGCTGCCTTTGATCTCGCGGACCAGCTCTTAGAAGGGCTTCAGGTCCTCCACGGTTTCCTTCTTGGTGGCTGAGTCGACCACGATGAAGGGCCCTCCTGGGACCCCCAGAGAGCAGGGTGCAGAGGTGCTGGTGCTTGCACGACCACGCCGAGAGTGCTCTGTTCACTGCAGTGAGTGCCAAGGGGACCCCCCATAACACAGGGCTATGGCTTCCCACTCCGCAACAGTCCCTGATGGTATATGGACGTATGATATATATATACGTATATATATATGTATATATATATATGTGTATGTGTGTGTGTGTGATGTCCAAAATCAGCTGTCAAATAACTTACTTCAGAAATCCTTCCTCCCCAAGTCTCCCATATTTTCTTCTGAAAGTTTTATATAATTGCTGTTCACATTTATATTTAAAACTTGGGTATGGTATGAAATAGAAATTAATTTTTTTTCATATGAGTTCTTTCTTTCAGATTTGTTAAACTACTTCTGTGATGTATGTCTGTGAGTCTGTTTATGGATTAATGACTCTGTTCCTTCCCTTTAGAGTTAATAATTATGTTGCTCAACTGAAACATACTGGTACAAAAATCAATAGAAAATTTTAGCAAAGAAATAAAATATATTTAAAACATCCAGGGTAAATTATAGGCCCGAAAAATATAATAATAGACCTTTTAAATACTTCCTGAATGGGCTCGATGTTAGAGTTGAGAGGACAGAGGATAGACTCAGTGAACTTGAGGACAGAGAAATAGAATCTACTCAGTGTGAACAGGAGAATGATAATAGACTGGGGGAAATGAACAGAGTCCCAAGGACCAGTGTGACCCCAAGCAAAACTCTAACACCTGTATCATCAGAGTCATAGGAGGAGAAAGACTGGGTGTGAGGTAGTATTTGAAGAAAGAGTGGCTGAAAACTCTCCAAATTTGGTGTAAGACACAAATCTCCAGTCTCAAGAAGCTGAGAGAATTCCACCAGGATAATCCCAAGGAAATAAAGATGAACACAAAAAACAGTTGAACTTCTGAAACCTGAACACCAAGGGAAACTCTTGAGGGAGGTAAAAAGAAACAACATATTACCCATAGTGGAACACTAATTTGAATGACAACAGATTTGTCATTTGAAACCATGGAAATCAGTAGGAAGCAGCTTGACATTGTTCAAGTGCTGAAAGAAAAGGAATGTCAACTGTAAATTCTATGTGTGACATGGTGTCCTTCAAGAATGAAGGGGAAATAAAGACATTTTTTTCAGATGAAGAAAACTAAGCATTTGTTGCTAACAAACCAACCCTTAAATAACTAAAGGAAGTTTTCTAGACAGAAACGGTACCAGAGGACAGATTGAGGAATTTCAGAATGAAAGAAAAATTCCAGAATGTGTACAAACAAGTATAAATATGATGGTGTATCTTCTCAAGAGTTTTTAAAATCAGATTTGATGATTAAAACCAAAGTCGTGACAACATCTGATACTCAGGACAAAAATATTTTAAGAAGAGAAAGGCAAAGGGACCTAAATAGAAGTAAGGTTTTCCTACTTAAGTGGTGAAATGTTGATACCAATAGACTGTGATACGTGACATATGCATATTATAATCTGCAGAGACACAGATTTGGTACAAAGAGATATACTCAAAAACACTAAATGTAATTTCTGAAAAATATTCCAATACCACATAGGAAGATGAGAAAGGAGAAAAAAAAAGAGAATCAGGAAAACCAGAAAACAAATAAAAAAAACAGCATTCTTAAGCTCTAACATATCAGGAATTGCATTCAATGTATTCACGCAATGAGTGTATTCATTACACTGAATGTAATTCGTGATATGATAGAGTGTTAGAGCCTAGGTACATTATTTTATAATTTGTTTTCTGGTGTAAGTGGTGTGAATACAGCAATTGAAAAGCACATCGGCAGAGTGGATTTTAAAAAATGTAAGCCAAGGATATGCTATTTGGAGTGAGAAGAAACTCACTTCACATTTAAGGAAATGGGTTGAAAGTAAAAGGAGATTTTCATATATTAACACAGAAATTATGGAATCAATATTTAAATCATGTTATTTACAATAACTCTCAAGAAAATGAAATACTTATGTATGGGATTAACACAACACAAAGAATCTATATGCTGAAGATTATAAAATGCTAAAGGAAAAAAATATCAAAGAAAACCTACACAGATGGAAAGACTTCATATGTTCATATATTAGAAGACTCAATTTGGTAAAAAATCTCAGTTCTCTCTAAGTTCATCTATAGGTTAATGCAATTCTTGTCAAAATCCCAGTAAGCCTGTTGTAGATATAGATGAACTAATTTTAAAATTTATATAGAAAGACATAATACCTAGAACAGCTAAAACAGTCTTGAAAAAGAATAAAGAGGAAAGAATAACTCTATGTGATATTGATTACACTGTAGATATAGGAACTGTCAAAGTGTCATAGCGGTGGAGGCATAGACATGTAGATCGATACATAAATGAGACAGCATAGAGAACCCAGGCACAGACCCACACACATATGACGACATGATTTTTGACAGAGGTTGAAAAGTGACTCAATGCNGGTATGGGCTTAACAAAACACAAAGAATCTATATGCTGAAGATTATAAAATGATAAAGGAAAAAAATATCAAAGAAAACCTACACAGATGGAAAGACTTCATATGTTCATATATTAGAAGACTCAATTTGGTAAAAAATCTCAGTTCTCTCTAAATTCATCTCTAGGTTAATGCAATTCTTGTCAAAATCCCAGTAAGTCTTTTTTAGATAGAGATGAACTAATTTTAAAATTTCTATAGAAAGGCACAATACCTAGAAGAGATAAAACAGTCTTGAAAAAGAATAAAGAGGAAAGAATAACTCTATGTGATATTGACTTACACTGTACATACAGTAACTGACACAGTGTCATAGCGGTGGAGGCATGGACATGTAGATCGATACATAAATGGGACAGCATTGAGAACCCAGGCACAGACCCTCGCACATATGATGACATGATTTTTGACAGAGGTTGAAAAGTGACTCAATGCAGGAAGCATAGTCTTCTCAACAAATGTGCGGGAGCAATTGGACATCCATAGACAAACACAAACATGAAGGAAAAAACCTCAATCTAAAATTAACCCCTCGTATAAAAATGAACTTTAAGTGGATAATGGACTTAAATGTAAAATATAAAATTATAAAACTGTTAGAGGAAAAACAAAGTCTTTTGCATCCAAGGCTAGACAAAGACATGTTAGACTAGACATCAATGGCATGATCCCATAAAAGCAAATTTTGATAAATTAGACCTTCCAAATAATTAAAACTTTTGCTTTGTTAAGGACCTTGTAAAGACACTGAAAAGAAATGGTATACATCAAGGAAAAATATTTAAAAGCCACATATTTGTTATAGGACTAGTATCTAGAATATATGAAGAATGCACAAAAGGATTTTTAAAAATCCAGTTATAAAATGGTCAAAAGATAAGAACAAACATTTTACTGAGGAAGATATACAGAAAGCGAATGATCAGTAGGAAAGATTTTTAACATCATTAGCCACTAGAGTATT